GCACTGGGTCATAACATCCCTTATGTTAGGAAGCCTCAGGACAATCACCAGAGCATTGTTGTGGTCATTGAGGGAAGGGGGGAGGATTGAATCTAGGGCCTTGTGTCTGCTTCACCACTGAGCCTCCAGCTTTTAAATTTTTAATTTGAGATAAAATTAACTAAGCTTCCTAGGCAACTCTCTGTGTAGTTTAAGCAGGCCTTGAAGTTGCAGTCCTCTTGTCTCACTCCAGTCTCCCAAAATGCTGGGATTATAGGTATGTGCCTCTACCTAGCAAACTGGTTAAATTTTTAAACACTCTTCGGATGATTTTCATGTTCATTCTGGATTTTGGATCACTTGATTATTTAGTTACTGGACTACCAGTTGTACATTACTATAAAACTAAGAACTTTATTATTTTAGGAGATAGTCTATACATGAATCAAATATACTATATACTGTTTTATCTTAGGAATCAGTATCAGGATTGAGACAGGTTTTCCTGTAACCCCAGCTGGCCTGGAACTTGCTATGTAGACCAGGTTGGCCTTGAACTCACAGAGATCCACCTGTCTCTGCCTCCCAGGTGCTGGGATTAAAGGCATGCACCACCATGCCAGGCCATGAAAGAAATATTAATGAAATACATGGGAGGAAATTTTAATTGAATTTAACAAACTTAGTAAGGTTTTATTTTGTGCCAGCCATTATATGAACTACTGGAAAAACAGATGAATAAGAAAAAGGAATTAACATATAATTAAATTTAATAAACTAATTTAAAATAAAAAGTGAGCTTTTTTGCCACAGGCTTTTCTTAGAGAATTGTAAAATTAGATATGAATGTGCATTCACAACGGCCAAGATATGAAATATACCTAGATGGTCACTGATGAACAAAGTAAATGGGTTACCTATACCCAATGGGATATAATCCAGACATAAAGAAGAATGAAATCCTGTCATCTGCAGCACCATGAATGGAGCTGGAAGGCATTATGGTATGTGAAATAAGCCAGGCATAAAAGACAAATACTGCATGTTCTTACTTACAGTGGCAGCTAAAAGAACTGATTTCATGAAGGTGGCTACCAGAGGCTAGGAAGAGGAAGAGAAAGGAGAGTGGCTGCTTAGTGGTCTAGGCATACAGTTGGGACAGGTGGAATACCTTTCAACGCTCCACAGAACCAGAGTAGCTATGGTTGACAATTAATTGCACATTCAAAATATCTAGAAGACTTTGAATAGCCTCACCATGAAGAAATGTGAAAATGCTGAGGTCATGGATATACCAATTGTCCCGATTTGATCATTACATGTTGTATGTAATGACCACATATTGAACATCATATTGAATGCACAAATTTTATGAATCAGTTAAAAAGTTAAAAAGATGGAGAGATGGCTCAGCAGTTAAGAGTACTCATGCTCTTGCAGAGGACCTGGGTTTAATTCCCAGTACCCACATGGCGGCTAAGAACCATCCTTAACTCCAGTTCTAGGGGGATCCGATGCCCTCTGTGACCTCCTCAGCATTGCACGACACGGGTGCACTCATATGTATGCAGGCAATACACTCATACACATAAAATAAAAATAATAGATAAAATATTTAAAAAATAAGCATAGAGAGAGATGAGTGCAAAGTGAAGTCTGGGAGGAATTGTACTCAACTGTCATCTAAGAATTGGATTGTGGGGATATACTAGGACATTTTGCTGAAAAGTAGACAGGAGGATGTAGGATGGTACAGTAACTTTAGGAAATAATTTCATAGTTTCTTAAAACATTAAAACAGAAATTTAGCATACTAATTAACAATTTTCCTCTTAGGTATGTATCCAAGAGCACACAAAGATTTGCATATGAATATATATTGTTCATAGCATAAAAAGTGGAACCCCAAATTATCAATTGGTGAATAGATAAACAAAACATGGTGTAGCTGTATAAGAGATAAGTGTGTGTGCAATAAAAAGGAGTGAACTATTAATGTATGGTAAAGCATGAATGACCCTCAAAGAAAAAGCCAGATGAAAGGATCAAATGTTGTATGATTTCACTTATATGAAGTGCCCAGAAAAGATAAATCTGGAGATGTTGTCTAGAGAAATAGCTCAGTGGGTAAGAGCACTTGCTGAACAGTCACAAAAACTAGAATTCAGAACCCAGAACCCATATAACAAGCTGTCACTTCACCTCTGAGGGGTGAAGACAGGAGGATCACTGGGGTTTGCTGACTTCCAGCCTTGCTGGGAAAACTAGACCCTCTTGGTTCAGAGAAAGACTCTGCCTAGAAGGGACAGACAGAAAGTGAGAGAGAACAGGTGATGTCCTTGTCTGGCTGCCATGTGCACCCAAATGCGTGTATACACTTAGACACACACACACACACCAAACAAACAAACAAACAAACAAAAAACCCAAAACTAAATCTTTTTTAAAAAAGAACAGAATAAAAAGTTACTTCAGGATAAGGTGTGAATAGGAACTAATTAGATAGGGGCACAAGGTTGCTCTAAGACTGGACTATGGTCATGGATCACTACGTTTACTAAAAAATATTGAACTACGCCTTTAAAACAGAGGAATGAAAAGCCAGGCATGGTAGCCCATGCCTTTAATCCCAGAACTTGGGAGGCAGAGGCAGAGAGATCTTTGTGAGTTCAAGGCCAGCTTGGTCTACGTGGAGACCCTTGTCTCAAAACAACAAAAAAGAATAAATAAATAAATCAACGGATGCAATTTTTTTTTCCGAGGGTGGTGGCACACACCTTTAATCCCAGCACTCAGGTGGCAGAGGCATGGGGATCTCTGTGAGTTTGAGACCAGCCTGGTCTACATTGTGAGTTCCAGGTCATTTGGGGCTAGAGGGAGACCCTGTCTCAAAAAGACAACAACATCATCATCATCATCATCATCATCAACAACAACAACAAAACCACAGAGGAATTAAGATCTTTTGTAGGAAAACCCAATTACATGATAACTTTATTAGAAAATATAATAGCTAAGTGTCTATGTTGAAAAATAAAAAGTTCTGAGAACAATAAAAATAAAATGGAGGTCTTAAACATGTAGTGGAATATAAATCACTTCAATAATCCAGAGAAGATAGGAATGGTGATTAAAGGAGCAAAGGCTGGAACAGGAAAGGCATAGAATATGATGAAGAATAAGAGTAATCACCTGGGGTAAGCTCACCTATCCAAGAAAAACTCATGAAGGATTAAATGTGCACTTGTGGAAAATATGTGCCATACACACCGTAGGCAAAGGAAAGGTGGCTTAACAGTAACAAGCATTTTTAATTTAAACAATTAGCATGAAAAGTGGTAATGAGGGGCACTGTATAATAAGAAGCAATCATAATTTGTAATGGAGAACATACTCTGAGAAACATTGCCCATTATGTGCCAGGATTGTGCCTGCCTTCTATAGTGCTGTATCTCAATCTTAGCACATAATAGGATGCCATAAAATATTACAGACTAGAATCATTACCATAGTACACTGAAATGGTCTCTTTATGTGTTTGGCATACCACAAAGGCAAGGGCTGTGTCTAGGCTTTATGGCATCAATGTTCAGTAGAGGCCTGGCACATAGTAGGCATTCTACAAATCTCATCACAATTTGAGAATAATTTGCTTTATAAAATCTCTCCTGTTCTTGCCCATAATGACATATCCTTTGCTTTTATTTTCATAGAATTCATAATTTGAAATATCACATGTAGCAATTGATATGTCTTTTAAATTTATCTTGCTATTTCAAATCATGTTTTCCTTCCAAAAAACATTTTGGCATTTTGAAGACAAGAAAAGTGCCTTATATTTATAATTGCCTTAATGTTTCTTGATTGGTGTCACTAGATGGATGTAGGTTACACATAGTGGAACATGTCAAGGCTTCCAAGAGGCCACCATTTGGAGACAAACACATGTGCAAAGAATGCGAACTTAATGGGATAGCAGAAGGCAGCTGGTGGCATTCCATTTGTAGTCTGTGTTATATGCCCTCTGGAAAACAATGTGGGGAGATTGCCTGTAATTCTGCAAAGAAAGCAAGTTTGGGAAGTGAGAGGAAGATGCTGAGGAAAGAGCAGAGCATGCTGTTCATTATACTCTGGGCAGAACCTGGACCTGACCGTCCACTGGCAGGAAGAGTGTTAGGAGTAGGAGACCAAACAGAAAAACTGAGTAAACAGCTTCTTTTATCCACTTGAGCCCCATAGAAAGGTCAGGGAGGAATGTTGTTCTTCGTGTATAGACTGAGTGGAGAGGAAACTGAGGAGCTCTGATTGGGAAACTGCAGACGGTTAACAACCTGCACTGGAAGCACCTTCTTGGAGACAGAGAGCCTGGTTAGATTCAACCCCGACTCTGGTATGAAGTAGGGAGACAGACTGGCTGACCTCCCAAGGTTTTTTCTGTTCCCTTAATTACACACGGAATCTCGCTTCTCCCCATTTATGCTCCTACACGTGCACACAGCCAGTTTGATAGTAAGTCCCCTGGGCTGCCTTCCAGGTTTAGTACAGAGCCACACAAGGATGCTGGCACCCAACAAACGACTCAAATATTTGTTGAAGGACGGAATAAATGAATAGTGTTTAAATAGGGCTCGCATGTCACATGACCTTCTCAGCTATACAGCACAGAATGAAATCACAACATTCCAGGCACGATCACCCGAGCAGAGCTGGCAAGAGGAAGAATGAACACACACACACACACACACACACACACACACACACACACTCGCTGCAACCTTGAGAAATGCACAACCCACCTGCTCAGTAAACAGGCTGCGGGAGTTCTTTGGCAAAGATCTTGCCTCCTGCTTCCGAATGGTGCCAAAAGGTCATGTCACCCAGATTTAGAATCTCTAGCCTTGGTCTCCGTGGCAAAGTTTGTCAGGATTCAGCCAGGTCTTCCCTGGGCCACATCTGCACTCCCAGCCCTGCTTTGGGAACCCCTGGCGCGCAGCTGGCCGGCCCGCAGCGCCCCACCTTACCTTGGTGAGCTGAGCGATTTTCTTGCACATTTTCACATGCATGTCGGGATCACAGTCCATTCTCCAGCCTGCGCCACCGCGGGCGTCGGCTTTGGAGCTCGTGCCAGTTCCCGGCGGCTGGGTTTTGCTGCTGAGGGCAGATGCCATCCCTCTAAGCCGCCCAGCAGGGACTGCTCCCGCCGCACGCCTCCTGCCCGCCGTGGGGGCTCTCAGTGCACAGGCGGCACTGCAGTCCTGCCGGCACCGCCGAGTGGCTCCCCTTTCCACCCGCGCACCCACCTTCCTCTGCTCGCGCTCGTTCTCTGGCTCCCAGCTCGCGGACACCCGCACCCTGTAGCGAGGCGCGGGCTCGCACTGCAAGTGGAGCTCTCGATCCGCGGACGCTCCTGAGAAGGAACCCGCTATGGCTGCAAGCCTACAGCTTCTGAGGGATCTTGGGTTTGCTAGAGACCCGCGCAGCTTTCCTGGACACGTGGGTGGCGGGGGCTCCCGACTCGGCGCCCGCAGATGCAGCCCGAGGTGGACAGCGTCGAGGAAGAAGTGCGGGCCTTAGCCTCTAGCAGCTGGACTTTCTGGATGAAAATACCCCCAAGCCCTGCGCATTGGCGGTAGATGGGACAGGTGAAGCAGCGGGCTCAATACTTCATCCTGGTTGCTTAAAGCAGAGGGCGCAGGTGGAAGGCGGGACGCTGAGGGGTGGGAGGAAGAGCTAACCACCCCGATTCGGGAGGTATGGGATTCGGGGGAGAAATAGGTGACAGTGCCTGAGCTGCGGGAAACCAACGAGGGAAACCTCTTAGGAACTTCCAGAAGAGTACGCTCAATGCGGGCTGCCAAAATCCTCCGGCAAAGTGGAGGTCAAAGACTAACTGGTGATTGAAATTTATGGAAAAGCAAGCACAGAACTCATTGCAGAAAGGGGTAGAACACAGGAAAGTCATCGGAGGTAACGGGTGATAGGTAGCAGGCGTGGTAACAGGGCTCAAGGAGGAACGCAGTAGTCACAAGCAGCTCCAATGAAAGTGAAGCAGCCATCAAGGCCCACGCTATTACCTTGGGCACACCTGAGGAAGAATCCTGTCAGTTGCTACCTTTTTAGTTTGAGAAGGGCGGAGGCTAGCGAGCCAAATTCTTTTTCGTTTTCTTACTCTCGGTTCAAACAGTGAACTCTGGAAAACGTGACAGAGCCCCGATTAGATTGTTTTCGTGTGAATAAATAGCGTCATTGGTACGAGTTTGCATGATTAATATACTTGACTTTACAAAATGGTTCACCTTAGGTACTGCAGGTGACAATAATCATTTGTCTCTATAGCCCTAGCTGGTTTGGAACTCGCTGTGAAGACCAGGTTGGCCTCCATCTCATAAAGATCCACCTGCCTCTGCCTCTCCAGTGTTGCAATCAAAGGTGCAAGCCATCATGCTTGGCTGGCAATAATTATTTTTAAACGTGAGGAAAACTGACGAAATATTCGAATAAAGCCAGGCAACGACAAACTGCAGTTGGGTCTGAAATGGAGACACTGAGAGCCAACACTCTTGTAAAAATCCCCATTCCTCTCCCTAGAAACCACACAGCATGTGAACTGTCAAGGTAGGATTTTTGGTTTCTAGTTTCCCATCCTAAGTTCCCTTTCCAAGACAAACTTAGTTTCCCTGGGAAATGTCTAACTCAGAATTACCACCAAGAGGTTCTGAGGCCCCATCCTAGACCCTCTTGGGACAAAAATCTCTGGCATGCAGGACCAGTAATCCATTATTAAACAAGCACCCTACTTAATTCCAAGTTGCATGGAGTATTTTAAAAATATTTTACGGGTATGTGTGTACTGCATGCATGAAAGTACACCTATGTCATGCAATGCCCATGGAGGTCAGAAGAGGGTGTCAGATCCCCTAGAACAGTTGTTAGCAACCATGTGAGTGCTGGGAATCGAACTTGGGTCCTCTGCAAGAGCAGCCAGTGCTCTTAACTGCTGAACCATCTCTCCAGCCCCCTAGAATATTTTTTTAGGCTCTTCATATCCATTAAATCATCCACTTCTTAAAATTATTTTTATGTGTATGTGTGTACTGCCTGCATGTATGTAAGTGCACCCATGTCGTACAATGCCCACAGAGGACAGAAGAGGCTGTTGGAGTCCCTGGAACTGGAGTTAAGGACAGTTGTTAGCTGCCATGTTGGGTGCTGGGATTCAAACCTAGGTCTTCTGCGAGAACAGTGTTCTTAACCGCTGAGCCATCTCTCCAGCCCCCTAAATCATCTACTTTGAGAAGAAAATTAGCCTACATGGAACCAGAATTATGAATAAAAAAATTATCCACCATTTTGGATAATCACATTAGTGGCCATATGACTTATAATGTTTGGGTGTGAACAAACACACGCCCACACACTAGCCACATGCATCTCCTTGCATGTAGAAGCCCCTCAGTATTACATTGTCATAAATTTAATTGTACCAAGCATTTATATACTAAAATGCATTTTACCTAATTATATATTCACCCCTTTCACTTCTTCTTTATATAATGTTGAGAAATTAAACCAGCTTAAGAAATGTGTGCTGGAGCTGGGCATGGTGGCAAACTCCTGAAATCCCAGGACTCTGAGGCGTTAAGGTGCAGTGGACATGCTGGACTCACCCAGGGAAGGTGCTGGCACTAGGACTCTGGAGGCTGTGCAGCCCAGGAAGCAAAGAGAGGTGAGGGCGGGACCAGGCCCAGAGGGCTCCTGGGGACCAGGAAAGGTGCTGGCCCGTTCCATATATTTATATAGTATCACAGAACGTGGCATTTTGGAGCAAAATGTTTTGAGGTAAAATTATAGTCAGGTTATATTAAATATTAATATGATCATTAGGTGCTTCACAATTTTTTTGGAAACAGTGTGTGAACAACATGAACCTATAAATATTGGGATAGTCATTGTTTTCAGCTTCCTACCTTAAAAAATTGTGTTAGTAACAGAGGTGTAGAATCCAGGGATAAGAGTCACGTGCATGGGTGAAGTGCAGACCAGGGCACAAAGTACCTTTTTTTAGTACTGGAACCAATTTGTAAAGCACACCTGACTTAAACAGGAAGAAAAGAATCTGGAATTAACATAGTTTTAATTCTATTATTTTTCTAGAATTCAAATAAATAGAACACTCCAACACTAAAAGGGGGAATGGAACTGAAACTTTCTAGTTTCATTTATAACAAGTCTCTTTTATTGAATGGAAAGATAAATATTTTTTAATTTATTTTTTGAGTGTAATGTCTGCATGTATGTGAGTGCACCCGTGTCATGTAATGTCTGCATGTATGTGAGTGCACCCGTGTCATGTAATGTCTGTAGAGTTCAGAAGAGGGCGTCAGATCCCCTGGAACTGGAGTTACAGATGGTTACTTGCTGCCATGTTGGTGCTCCAAATGAACCTGGGTCCTCTGTAAGAGCAGCCAGTGCTCTTAATTATTGAGTCACCCCTCCAGCCCCAAAGACAAATATTTTTAATGCAATTAAGTATGGGTAACTGCCCGATACAGTTGAATATTGCAATGTAGTTGTTACTTAATTTCCTTTTCTAGACTTGGGCACTGCTTCATTTTTATCATTGTATAGTGTTACTGTAATATAAATCCAAATTGCACCAAGAACTTACTGGACACAATAATTGTCCAGAGACTCTTCTTCACTGCATTTTTTTTTCTGTTCACTTTTAGTTTTCAACTCCATGCCTTCTTAGACTGGTCCGTTGTTTGGTGAAGCATCTCACCCAGTGCCTTATGGAAGAGTAGATGTGAGATTAAAAAAATTGAGACCATGCAAGTCCAACGATAATTTCACCCTCTTTATTGACTATATTCTTGTCTGGGCACAGAATATGAGGTTGGAAATAAATTCATCTCTTAAGTTCAAGGCTGCTTTCATAGCCCTTAAGGATTCATTGTACCCAAGTCTATGCCACTCTGAAGCATTCGTTTATGTAACTGTTTTCTCTCCCCTTTTGAAATCTTTTAGGATCTTAAAGTCTAGCATCCTATCATAGTAATGTATTTTTTAAAAAAGTAGTTGTGCTGGACAATGAATGGGAGCCTTTAAGAGACCAATGTTCTGTCCCACATTTTCAGGAAACCTCAATTCCTGCTTCTCATGTGCTTTCTATTCTTATTCTGGAACTCACTGACCAGATGCGACATGTCATCCTGATCTGATTTTCTTTTGTTCCACCCCTGCCTTTGTTCCTCCTGAAATTTGTGTAATGTATTTCCATTAAATTCCATACTTAAATTTGGTTCTCTTTTTTTCTAACAGCGCTTACTTTCTAACCATTTTTTACACTATCGTGTTATTTCACAGATCGTCTTTTCTCGTTTCTGAGACTATCATAGCTTCTTCCACCAGTTTTATGTTCATCTTTCATGCTGAAGTCCCCTTATATGCCTGTGTTGTCCTTGGTTGTCACTATACGTTGAGTATAAGTAACTATAAGCTGTGTATGAATGAGTAGGGCTTGCAGACACTGGATCTCACTGTAGCAAATAATCAAGGATCAAGCTGTTTTCTTCCACCATTCATCTTTTCTGTATGGGTTGGGAAAGCCTGCATCTATAAGCCTAGGATAGCCAGGCAGAGAATGCAAGTTGGCTTTGTGTTGACAATACTGCATGCTCTTGTCTACAATACAAGCACATCACTACCACTGTTACTCTCCTTCAGTCCTGTTTGGTTCACTTATAAACCTTCAGTATTTTGAAGAGTTAATTGCCTGGTTATAAAGGAAGGAAAAACATACTTTCAAAGATTCCCCTTGCTTTCAATTTTGCTTTTCACGTCCACCTTTGAGGATACTTTTCTCTTGAGCCTTTGGATGTTCTGGAAGGCAGAATTGGCTTTTAAATTTGTAGAACTTTTTTTTTTTTTTATCCTTTTAAGATTTATTTTTATTTTTTATGTGAATGTTTACTTGAATGTATTTATATGCACTGTGTGTACTGCCTGCACAAGCCAGAAGAGGCTTTGGAACCCCTGCAACTGCAGGGGTTTTGAGCTACCATTTGGATACTGGGAACCAAAACTGGGTCCAAAGTTATGAGGCCAACATTAATGCTTGGCTTCAACTAAAAATAAAATTTGATTTTCTGTGTACTTGTGGTCCTCTCTTTTGTGTCAACAAAGCTCTGTCACTCTTGTTTATTAAGGGTGCAATGGGTAAAGCCAATCCATTGGGTGTTACTGATGGAAGATTTTGGAGCATCCACCAAAGGAAGTTTACCC